CCCATCCCCAAAAGTTTCTCAGCGGATTTGGGCTGTACTGGGCTGTACTCAGCAAGTGCAGAACAGCCCCCAACTCAGATTTGAAAAAAATCAGTGGATGGTTGTTTTCTGACTGGTCGGCAGACCGCCGACCGGTCGGCTGCAATACGGTTGGCGGTCGGCGGTCGGGGTCGGCAGTCGGCAGGGATGCAACCCTGATGGCTACCATACTGCACTCCTTGCCTGTGCACTTAGCCATGCGATCTCTCCTGCCCTGTGCAATTAATCATATACCTCGACCAATACGATAAGATTGTAAGTTGTAACACTTTCCTCCTCCTTGCCTGTGCACAGCTACAAATCCACCCAGTACAAAGTCTGCCAAGATTGCTTGGAAGAACACCGCAACATATGTATATATCTCCTGATGAGTTGGTGAAACTCCGACGGAACAGTTTGTCACAGCCCCTCGTTTCTTCTCCTCTTCTCCCTCTCTGCCAACGGTTTACCCGCAGCTCTCTTTGACGACTGATGAGTCCATGAAACTCTGACGAAACAGTTTGTCACAGGCCCTTGTTTGTTGTCCTCTTGTCCCTCTCTGCCGACAGTTTACCAGGCAGTTCTGTTTGACGGTATATATATACATATATACACAGCATGGCCGCGTAGTGACGACCACGACCACAGATGCTCGACCAGACCAGAGAAAACCATAGCAGGGTGCTATCGAAGTCGTGGTATATATCGTCAAACAGAACTGCCCGGTAAACCGTCGGCAGAGAGGGAGAAGAGGACAACAAATGAGGGGCTGTGATAAACTGTTTCATCGGAATCTCACCGACTCATCAGGAGGCTGAACCCTCAACAGTACGCAGAATCCCCTAAGTGATTACACCGTATATATATATCATCACAGAGTTATCAGAGCGCAAAAGCAAAAAAAACAAAAAGGATATCAATTCATTTTTTTTCTTCTTACTTACAACTCCCCCTGTTCAGAACCTCTTGCGTACAAGGCCGCCCACGTGGATGTGGTTGAGCGGCGGCTGCCCCCAACCCCGTGTGTCATATCGACCCACTTGCCCACAGCCAAAAGGCAAAGAGGCAAAGAAAAGAGGAAGGGAACAGCCAAATATAACAAAACAGGGGGCAGCAAGATCCTGGATGACAAGCCCCCACATATAAGCACCGCCCCGAACTTCACAGGCCAAACGACGGGACAAGACCAACCAGGATATCAAAACACTCTTGCATGCAAAAAACGAACTCCCAAATACATATCTATATACAGCAGATGGCCTTGTTCGTCATCAAGAAGTTGGCATTCCTATTCGTAACCCATTCATGCTCTCATAGGCCAAACAACGAAAAAAAACGGGTGATTGGTCCCACATGAAAGCACTGCTACTCTCGCCAATATATATATATATATATATCGTCACAAATAGAACTGCCCGATAAACCGTAGGCAGAGAGAGAGAAGAGGACAACAAACGAGGGGCTGTGACAAACTGTTTCGTCGGAGTTTCACCGATATATATATATATATATATCGTCACAAATAGAACTGCCCGGTAAACCGTAGGCAGAGAGAGAGAAGAGGACAACAAATGAGGGGCTGTGACAAACTGTTTCGTCGGAGTTTCACCGACTATATATCTATATTATATATAGATATATATATATATATCGTCACAAACAGAACTGCCCGGTAAACCGTAGGCAGAGAGAGAGAAGAGGACAACAAACGAGGGGCTGTGACAAACTGTTTCGTCGGAGTTTCACCAACTCATCAGGAGGCTGAACCATATATATATATATATATATAGTGTATATATATGTATACAGTGTAATCACTATAGTTGTTGCGCAGTCGTTGATGCTTAACCCACAACCAGGGTTAAGGTGGATTATCACTTACAGTGTAATCAGTTAGGGGATTCTGCATACTGTTGCGGGTTCAGCATCCTGATGAGTCGGTGAAACTCCGACGAAACAGTTTGTCACAGCCCCTCGTTTGTTGTCCTCTTCTCCCTATCTGCCGACGCAGTTCTGTTTGACGATATATACCACGGCTTTGATAGCACCCTGCTATGGTTTTCTCCGGTCCGTTTGAGCGTCTATGGTCGGGGCCGTCACAGCCGGACATGCTGTGCCTGTACTGCCAGCGGCATGTCTGGAGTGTATTTTTTGGCTGTGATAGACCTTCCTTTTTTTTGTGGCTGTTTTGCTGGCTTGTGATGGGGTGTGAACCGACAGTCTGTAGAGTTTTCCACCTGGTGTGGACGAGTGATATTCTGCTTTGATTCTCGTCACAGATACCTTGAGGGCAGTGGTTGGTGGTCCCCACCTCCTCAGAGGGGTATCACTTGCCGGGCAGTCGTTGATGATGCTTAACCACAACCGGGGTTAAGGTGGATTGTCACTTACAGTGTAACCAGTTAGGGGATTCTGCAGACTGTTGAGGGTTCAGTCTCCTGATGGGTTGGGTGAAACTCCGACGAAACAGTATGTCACAGCCCCTCGTTTGCTGTCCTCTTCTCCCTCTCTGCCTACGGTTTGACGGGCAGCTCTGTTTCCTCTCTGCCTACGGTTAACCGGGCAGCTCTGTTTGACGATATATGCGACTTTTTCACTTTTCCCATGCATGCATAGCATTGTATACATCATTTTTTTTTTGTTCTTTTATTGCTTAATGCCGATCCTGTCAGGGTTTGGAACGACATTCTGCAAGGATTGCAGAGTTGGTGTGAGTAAAGTCAACCACTTCTCTCTCTCTCTCTCTCTCTCTCTCTCTCTCTCTCTCTCTCTCTCTCTCTCTCTCTCTCTCTCTCTCTCTATATATATATATATATATATCTATCTATCTATCTATCTATCTATCTATCTATCTATCTATCTATCTATCTATCTATCTAGGGTATCGCTAACTCTGGGCGACGTGGTGAGTCTTTATCCATCAGTCAGACGCATCCCGGGCAGACTGTCGGGGTTCAACCAGACATACCATCTTGCTTGGGACGATGATACAGGCTGAACTTCATGGCAACACCAGGGCTACAGGCATTGAAACCAACACATGACCTTGTGTTGTAAGTGACCTTGCTCGATCTATTATATCCGAGTCGAGACAAGAGTGACGCATTGATACATGGCAGACTGCACCACTTTGAGAGTGCATCAATTTACAGTATATTCATTTCATCCCTGAAAGTCCAAACGAAACAGTCTGGCACAGTTATGCTTTTTTGGGTGGGAGTTGCGTATAGTGAACATGCCAACACACACACACACACACACACACACGCACACATGCACACAAGCACAAAGACAACCCCTCAGGTTCAGATGATGAAGTATGACAGGACGTAATCCCAACTTGTTGATATATATATATGATATATTACAGTGTGA